GAAGGCTCCGGATCGGGCTCCTCACCCTTTTTGAGCAGCGGCGAGGCCTCGCGAGAGGCGGAGGTGGGCTCCCGCAGACCGCAAAGGCGCCGCGCGGGGCCTTTCCCCGAGGCCGGCGCGTTGAGCTCGGCGCTGGGCGCGCTTCGAGGCAACGCCGCGGCGCTGCGGGTCGGCCGCCGGCCTCTACTACCCTCGGACCTCCTCACGGAAGAAGGCGAGGACATCTTCGCGGATGTTTTCTCCTAATGGAAAAAGGTTAAAGGTGGAGGGCCTGAGTTGAACCTGGCTTTCTACCTTTGGACATGGCGAATTCTGCGAAGGACCGTTGCCCAGGTTCAACTAGAAACCAGTAGGTCGTGGTGGAAAGCGTCAAGATTGTTTTCTCCCCCTCCACCTTCTTATTCCTTGATTAAATTTTTAGGCTTTGATTTTAGTCCTTTTTATTATTATTAACTTTTCTTCTGCTATCAAATCTAATATTTATTTATTTGTTTTGTTTTTTGACTATACTTCCACTTTATCATTCACTATTCCGGTATGGCCAAACCAATACACAGATAAAGGTGTTACCGTGTGTATTGTACTATTGCCTCTTTCTGTGGGCTTTTCACCTGTCTTTTTTTTTTATTCAATTACATTATTTAAGATATCAAATTATGACTTATGTACGTTTTATCTTCACTAATTAAGTAACAATTCATCCTCTGAAATGGAAATTACGTGGCTTTTTTATCCTATTCAGGGTAACTGTTGGTGGATATAATTTATATGTGAACTTATCAGCGCTTCTTTCTATCTTTCTTATGTTTTTTTTCTTTTTGTGTTCATTAGCTAAAAGTATTGACTGCCACCACTTGTGGTTTAGTGTTGCATATTCATTGTACCCCTTTTGGGATTAGATTCACTCAAACACACACACAAAAAAAAAAGGATATTAATTTATTTTTCCCCCTTGAAAAGCAATTTGATAGTAAAACTATTTACTTGCTATAATTTAGTTCCACAGACAAGGACAGTGTGGATAGATCAGTGAGCAATAGTTTACAAACTTATACCACGTTAGCAAATAGTTGCCTCACTTTCTCATTTCGTAAATCATATTTTATTTTTAAACTTGACAAATATTTTCACGTTGGTTTTCATTTAAAAAGTGTATCATCTTTTTTTCCCTTCTTTTATTTTATTTTTCTTCGTGTCGTTTTGTTTTTATTTTGAGTTTGCTACTACTTTCGGAGAGCCTTTTCTGTGTTTATAATTTATTGTGGATCTCTATTTTTTTATTTTTTAATTTGAATTCGGTTTTTTTTTGCTTAGTTTTTTTCCCCCATATCAATCTCCTGCCCAAGGTCTTAATTGTATTATTTTGAAGACTTTCAAAAGGAATCGGTCATAGTTTTATTCCCCTTCGGTTAACGCCAAGCTAGGAATTTTTTCTTTAAAAGGAGGGCTACAGGTTATCACTCTCATGTATATATATACACTAATGATATAGCATACACACAAATTTGAAGGGCTAAAGCTTCTTAGAGTATATTGAGAAAACTTTTGAGCTGAATTGTTAATCAATTTACTATTTGTTTTGATTAAATTTTCATTTTCTCTCTGATATTAGCAATTGAAGATATTCTCTCGTAAATTTGGGATTATACCGTTGACGAATATAAAGTATATTTCAATTACATCACTTGTCAGCAAACGAAAGCAAATCCCAAATTTTAAAAAGTAACTGAGGGGTTTATTAAGGCTTGTTATCATAGGACTGAAGGTATAATAATTAAAATACTTTTTTTAAGTTGCTGATTCTTTTTTTATATATCCTCTCATATTCCACCTTCTTGGACATTGCCTAAGGGGTAGAAAAGGTTTAGCTTAGTTTGTCGAAAGCAGTTGAACAAAAGAGGAAGCGAGTTCCATAGGATATAATTTAGCAGGACACGATCTTTTTCAGCTTCTGAAGAGGGTAGAGAAGGGGTTTAATTCTTTTCATTTTGCAAACCCAAATCGACAACAAAACAATATAAAAAAACATAAGCTACTTCTAAAGAGTATAGACCAGTTTTAAGGCAATAGACGTGGTGCTGAAAGCAAGTCAATAAATTAGAATCACGTTCATTATCATCGGTCGCTATACAAATTTCTTCATTTTTTTTGTGCATATTTTTTGAATTTTTTTTTGTGTGAGGATACTAAAAGTAATGTCTATACCCGAGCATAAATTTCCAAACACCATACTTCCGTCGTCTAATGCACTAATGCAGTCCGAGATAGTCCTGCCGCTGCCACGCTCTTTATCTGCAAATTGCAGAATTGTCTCGCACATGTCCTCTCCAACGGATGGGATCTTCCAGAACAGAATTCAGGCCCCCATCATGACGCCATTTGCGCATGAGAGTGACCCTGGGCGAAAAACTCACGGGCTCAACGCCCTTGGTGAAGAAGGTTCCTACTCTAAATCGCATGCAAAATCCAGAAGACTAGCGTCCCTCCACAGGGGTATTCTAAATGTTGATGATAGTTGCAGAAGCACGACCCCATCGGCCTTACCGATCACACCCAAGATTGTAATGTTCAGTACGAGTTTCAACCAAAACCGCAAGACTGGTAAGGTTGGTAAACACCACACACAGCAAGGAGCCTCCGATGAAACGCCTGACGAGCCGCGGAGCAACCACCGACAGCGTCATAAAAAACGTATGCACGACAAAGTGGATTCTACTAATAGTAAATATCAGGAGATGTCTTCTCTCATTCCGTGCTACTCATCTTATTCTGTCGGCTTGGACTCTGCCAGCGTTGTTGTTAAACAGAGCCCCAAAGATCCGGCTATCGCCATCTCTGAGAACCGTACCGACGTCCATTTTATATGGCCGTCGCTCCACGTGAATGGAGGGATTGACAACATCGGCTTGCCGCAGACGTTGCAGGTACCTCGCTATTCCGATTTACACTCCCCGGGACGTACGAATAATAGCAGTCGTCCATACCCAAACATCACTTCATATAATTCGCTCACCAAATCAAGTGGTGCGTGCGCAATTACCCCACTCAGTGATGGCAATTGTGCCACAAACAATAAGGTTTCCTCTCAGGAAACCAACAGTCAACTATTGACAAGCTTTTCCACATCCACCGCCGATTATGTAAACGGGCACAATCATACCCCTCGGGAAGAGTTGAACGGGGGTTGCACCTGTGCCCACTTTCAGCGGTCTTCTCAGATGAAGCCAGGTGATAATGTGTGCAAGATTTTGTTGACCAATTCCATAGAGGGCAGTAAAACCGAAAGGGGTCTTGCCTTGCGTGTCCGACTGAACCACAAGGCTCTTATCGGCAAAGGGAGCTACGGAATGGTCTTTCAGGCGATGGTTCTTGATACCAACCGCATTATAGCAGTGAAGGAGATCCCAATCGGCAACTCCCTTCGGCGTTTGCACCACCCCCATGAGAGTGACAGCAACTGCCGCCACAGCTGTGGTCCTGGAGCTTCGGGGGAATTGGAGGGGGGGACGACCGGGGCATCCTCCATACCAGTCGATATTGTAAAGATGCCTAGCTCCTCGTTGAACAATAACAGCGCTGATTTTCAATCCAAATTAGACTTGGTGTGGAGAGAGTTGTCGCTGATGCGAGAGCTGGATCACCCTAACATCGTTAAGTATCTTGGTGAAGAGATTGATGACTCCTATATTCGTATTTACATGGAGTACGTCTCGGGCGGGAGCATCAGCTCCCTTCTACGCACCTTCGATTCTTTCCAGGAGTCACAGGTGGCAAACTTCACCCGACAAATTCTCCAGGCTGTTACTTATCTGCACTCGAAGGGGATTGCCCACTACGATCTGAAGGGTGACAACCTACTCGTGGATCCGAGCGGGACGCTCAAGTTGGCGGACTTCGGCACCGCACAGGAGATTAATTCAAAGAAGGGCGTCACCAAAATCGCTGGCACCGCATACTTTATCGCTCCTGAGGTCGTTATCCAGGGCACTTCGGACTTCAAGTCGGACATCTGGTCCGTAGGTTGCTGCGTGATTGAGATGTTGACAGGGGTGGCGCCGTTATCCCATCTCGCCACAAAGTACTCCGTGTTGATGATGCTTGCAGAGTCCACTGATGACATATTCAAGCACTACATCCCTAAGGAACATAATTGGTCGCCCGATGTAGTGGATTTTCTCATGCAATGCCTCCAATGGGATCCGGCCAAGCGGCCGTCGGCAGCGCAGCTTCTAACTCACCGTTGGCTGATGCATCCTCCGACGGACGTCGGCACCACCACCAACAACAACAGCCCTACGGTTACTACGCAAATCACGGCACGAATGTACCCCCCCCCTCGCCCCTTCTGCTGTCAAGCGGTGCGCGTGAGCAACTCACCAATCCGAAAGCGCATAATATTCCTACTACGCTTTCTCCTGTCATGTTAAGTTTAGAGTGCGGCAAGAAGTCCACCCCCCTCCAGCGGGATAGCAGTAAGAGACTGAATCGAGGGAGGTCAAAGTATCCAAAGGATCTCACCTCTCAGTCTGCGTTGTTTCTGGTAGATTCTATGCCGTTGGAAATGAGCCAAAACACATCCAAAGTCAGTGCATCCGCCCTCTCAACGTCTGCCACCACAGATCTTCGCATCCCGAGATCCCCAAGTCATTCTATTCCGCGTCAGGGGTATTGTGATGACAAGCTGTTCAGCAAGCCATCTACCATCCAACTGAAGGACATCGGCAGGATGGAGGAATCGTCAGGTAAGGCAGCCCCATCCCCAATGCGATCGTTCCTACCTACTATCAACAGCGCCGTTCCCCCTACACCCTCCTCTATAATCTTCAAGAAGCAAGCCGATACCTTTTCATTTATTACTGATTGCTCTGTGAAGGCGCGCCGGTGTGCGGATAAAGAGTTGGGCGTCATGTTGACCGACAATACAATGGAGTGCCTGTCGAGCATAAAGAAGTGATTATTGTGTGCGCAAAATTCTCGCTTCAACAGGCTTTATATGGAGCCCTAAAATAGTCGTCACGTGTCGTGACCATTCTCTGCACTACGATCAGAAGCATGGCATGCACACTGATCTCTGAGAGCTATACGAATGGAAGTGCTATCTCCAATTTCGTGCTCTAAAAGAGAATATATCTCATCGGAATTTATTTAGATTAGAGGGGCGATTTATTTATTTATTTATTTATCTATAGCCTCTATATGCAGTGTGCGGATATTTTCGATTTGCCGACCTGCATAACTGAAAGGTGCTCTGGAGGTCAGGGCTTAGAGTGAAGTAAATGGTAAAAAAAAACCCAACTATAAAGTATTAGACATACACAGATATGTTAGATACCGTGTTATACACTGTTTTCTGTTCTGTTGTTGTTCATTGTGGGGTTTATGGATTCCTTTTCCATTGGCCATTTTTTTTTTTGCCTAAACATCTTCATGCACTTTGATACACAAATATACAATTTTAATCTACTAGATTCCATTTTGTTTTATTCATTGTTACGTCCTCTGAGCTTTTAGTGCTAGCCTGATATATTTTTCTAATTATTTCTATTATTGTTTACTAAATGAAAATCAAAAGGATCAGAGTATAACGGGTATTATATAGTAGATTAACATTCCTAATAGGTTTCTCTAAAAACACCCTGTTTCTTATTTGTGTTAGGATTAAATTCAGATACCGGCTACCACACTCAATCCTATCTTTACCATATGCTAACTCTTGAATAGCCACATACACATTTTATATATATATCTGCTTTCTTTCTTTTTTTTTCATCACAGTCTTATGCCCCTAAGTTCTAGCAAGAATAACCCAGCACTCATCCCGTCCTCATCCCCCTCAAGTCCATGTATAACCCACTTCGGCCGAACATCTATCGTTGTGTCAAGGCTCAGCGCGCCCAACGGCGGCGCAGCACCAACGCGGAGGTCGAGACACCAACTGTAATAACTGCAACAATAACAACTACTACTACTACTACAAGCCCCAGCAGGCATGGTAACGCCCTTTCGGACGCGCTCTTGAGCGCGTCGGCCCCGCTCAATGCCCCCGCCGAGGAGCTCCACCGCTTACGAATCTCGCGCAGCGCGGCGTTGGGGGTGCGGCGCGCCGTCGAGCTCGAGCGCGAGGAGGTGGCAGTGGAGCATAAACGGCAGAGGCTCGAGGGCCGGGACGCCAAAAGCCGCATCGCCGGGTTGCTCGGGAAGATGCGACAAGCCATCGATGGGCCGGCAGTATCTGGGGCCGCTCCCGCCGAGCCCTCCAGCGCGCCACTCGTCTTCAGGCCCGCGGCGCTTCCTTCGGGCGGGTACGTGATGGTCCCCGCGGCTCCGGGTGAAGGCGGCCTAGGCGAGCCTCGCGGCTCTAGCATCCGCGGAAAACCAAGCAATACCTTGCTTCTGAACTACACGCGTGATCCGCCGGATCTGACGTCCTCCAGCGACCTCGAGAGAGTCTGCGGGCTTTGCTGTGAAGAGGCACGGGCGGTGTGCGGCACATACGGCACCGTAAGAAGCGTGCGATGGTACGTTCTTAGCGCTGCCGAGGAGAAGGAATTGCTTAAAACACGAAATCTTTCTCCGACACAGTTAGCATTTGAGCGACTTCGTATCTTTGTTCGCTTCGATACCGTCGCAGACGCTTTTAGAGCCGCTGAGAGACTCACAGACGGGAAAAATCAGTCGCTTTGGTCAGTTGCCTTTTTCCCATCTGCGCTGTACAGTAAAGGTGTGCTAAGCCCAGTGGAAGACTCTGAAAGCCATGTAAACGAATCCTAAACTAAAACATGAGGCAGTTTTTTTGATCATTTTCGGGCTGCTCTGATATTTCCTTCTTTCCGTATAATATTACTGGAACTTTAGTTTACTTCGATTCGTAAACTGAAAGAGAGACAGTTCTTTCCGATGGATGAACCGGTTTTAACTATTCTGCGAAGTGGATCTGGTCTCATTTTTTTTATTCACTCGCTATGTGAATTGCCACTATCATGGGGGTTTCTTTGTTGCACATTTTCTTGTGGTGGTTGTCGTGGTAGCACACTTCACCGGGTGAATCCACTAAACTGGGGTACATGCATCGGGGCCCAAGTTGGGTTTTCAGCATCATGGTAGGGAGTGAAGAGTTTCTGCGGGCTATTTGATCGAAAGAGCCTTGGTTTCGCCATTTACTCACTAATTTGCAGACATAAGGCGCGCTGCATGGTGAGGTGTAGTCATTCATTTTGTTGGACTTTAGTGTAGATGAGCTTCAATGTAAATCTGGAGGTTTACGGCGCTTCTCAGACTGAAAGACACAACATAGAATTAGATGAGCCACGTTGATATGTCTGTGCATCTCCCAGATACGACCTACCCACGTTGACAAATTTAGATTGCAATGACAGGCACTCAACGAGAAATTGACGGATGAATCAGCCACCCTCCCCCCCTCACAATCACCACCAAAAGAAGAAGCGGTTTCATTACTATTTCATTGTCATTTTGATTGGGTTCTGTTGTGTTTAATGGTGGTATGTTATGGTTAGAAGCGTTTCACAGTAGAATATGTTGCTTAGAGGCATCTGCTTTTGTTTCGTTGACTTGTCAGGGTAATACTGGAAAGGCTACTGCGGGGGTATAATTATATATTCTAAACGACATTTTGTTTTGAACGGCAAATATTTGTTCATTCACCTACGTAAAAGACTCCATTTCACACTTCTATATAACTGGAACCATGAAATAAATAGTCGACATAAAATCAAATGGATGCAGACTCCCACATGGATACGTGTGCCTTCTCTTTTGTGTGCTTTTCAAAAAACCTTCCTCATCTATTTTCCATTTAGTTGTTCAGAGCTTACCACTTCTAAGAAATCAGTTATCTCTTATAAACTCACATCTATTAATAAGGGAGTTATTGAGGGAGGAACAATTGAACCAAGATACAAATATAAAGAAAGGAAGAAGTACTCAAACGGAATTGGGTTTTCATAATAAATATTGTATAGGTTCTTTTAGTGTTTAGGTTTTGTTTTCCCACCCTCTGTTGTTGCTATTTACCTTGTGGTGGAGCTTGCAAAGGTTTTTTTTCCAGTTAATTACGGCATAGTTTTCATTTTTGGAGGGGTAATTCTGTACATATTTAAACGTGTTTCAGAAAGTAATTGTTTTTTGGGGAGTGAAATTGTGTAAAAGCAATACCGAACTCCTTCATGATGTTCAGATCGTTTCTCCCCGTGTTCATCCTGTTGCTCTTTTTGAGCAATTGCCTAAATGTTTCTGCCTCGGAGGATGAGACTATAAGGCTTCTCCTTACCGCCGGTGATAAGGCGATGAGTAGAGGTCGTGAGCACTACCGGGAGGCGCTTGCAAAGTACACGGAGGCGTACATGCGTAGCCCACGCAACGAGCGTTCCCTGTACAGCCGCGCCCAGCTTCTTTTTCTGTTGGGTGAAGTTAAAGCGGCGTTGGTCGCCCTAGAAACCTTGTTAACGCTGTCGCCAAAACACCCTCAGGGGCTGGCTTTGCGCATATCGCTTAATGTGCAGTCCGGGGAGTTAAAGGCCGCTCTTTTGGACTCCATCGAACTCGAGAAGATCTACGGTTCATTGGGCAAAGTAGATAAGCAAAAAGAACTACAGAATCAGGTTGTCAAACTTAGGCATTACCACAATAAGTGGCAGTCATTATCTGATATAATGCAAGCTTCGTTGATAGACTATAAACCAGCCGCTCACGATATCGGACTGCGGCGACGATACGAGGAATGTGTGGAGTTGTTGGAGCATGTAATTCGTGACTTTACAATGGATAGTTTAAACCTGCGGTTGCGTCGTGCGTCGTGCGCTCTTGCAGCTGGGGATAATCAAGCACTTAGTAATGAGATCAGACGTGTGTTAGCGCGCGATTCTCAGAATCTGGTGGCGATTGCGCTGAATGCAAAAGCCTTGAGGGGTCTGGGATCTATTGATCAATGTCGGTCCGAGCTGCAGCGCTGTCTATCCATCAATCCGGAGTACGCCCCCTGCGCACGGCTAAATCGCCTTGTCCGAAACCAGCAGAAGCACGTCAAGAACATCCTTCGCTGGATATCGGAGAAGAATTTTAAGCAGGTCGTGTCGGAGATCAGCGCTGCAAAGGAAGGGGAGGAACACCCACCGAACGAGGAGCAGCTGAGCGCCTGGCTCTGCGAGGCCTACGTCGGGTTGTTGGATACAGTGAACGGTCGCCAAGAGTGTATGAAGGCACTAAAGCTGCTTGGCGATAAGAGCCCGGCAGCTGTGGATGTGCACCTGAATCTGGCTGAACTCTTTTTGCTGGAGGATGATCTGGATAAGGCAACTCAAGAGGCCAAAGCGGCGAAAGAGCTTGACCCACAGAGCGACAAGGCCGACACTCTACTTCACAGAATCGAGAATATCCGTCGTAATGGGAACCGCAAAGATTATTATAAAATTCTCGGCGTTACGAAGACGGCGTCTGCATCTGATATTCGCCGCGTATACCGCAAACTTGCGAAGGAGTATCATCCAGACCTACTCCGCTCGAAGGATCTTTCGGATGAAGAGCGCGCCGTGATGGATAAGCGCTTCCGCGATATGAACGAGGCGAAGGAGGTTCTACTGGATGAAGAGAAACGAGCTCGCTACGACGCTGGCGAAGACGTGATGCGACCGCAGGGCCAGGGTAGCACTGGGCAACCGTTCTACGGGCAACGCTTCCATTTCCCGAGTAGAGGTTTCCCTGAAGGATTCGCAAGAAATTTCTTTCACCAGCAAGGCGGCGGCGGTAGTGGTCAAACATTCTTTTACTTTCAGTAGGAATAATAAATAGTAGTTGATCAAGAGAATGTCTGCAAAACGTCAAATAATTTGGTGAAGAGAAGGTTGAGAGAAAGTGAGGCGATATTTGGGTCATTTCTACAGAATATGTAAACGTTTCACCTGATTTTTTAATAAACAGGAGGCTTGTCCTTTGGTGAACACTTTTTTAATAATTTTTCTTTGGCTTAGTTGAAATAGCTATTCTTATGGAGATGTGTTTCCACCTTTGTTATCCATTTACTTCACCTCTTTCTCTCTAGGTATCTATCAAATGCTATCCTGATTTGGTGCTTTTAAACACAAGTCTCTTTTCACTTATGTTTTTCCCTTTTCGACAATTTTGTTTCAAAAACATCCTGTACTGAGTGCTGGGGTCGAAAGAAGCTTTGTGATTTCATTTTGCTTCAGATACAAAGTATTCAGTCTGTTCTTTATATGCTCATTTAGGATGTTTTTCTGACTTGTGGCCTGTGGTAGGGTCTTCACCTGACATGGAGGGAGTAAGAAAATGAATCAGGGTTTTGACTGCAAACGCTTCTTTTCCTTACAAAATGATGCGTCTCTAATTCAAACTTTTCACTGTAATGTTTTTAACAGGTGGTAAGCTTGTTCGGAACACCTTTTACTTATATAGTGCACGTTATCGGTATCATGGGGCTCATTGAATCTACTTTATTACGCGCTGCAATACGGTTGCCTTATTTCTACCTACTGGAAGTTCTGTTTGCACTTGTAAGACCTTCTCTTTTGTTATCTTACCTTACCAGTGGATGAATACCACCATGGCAAGGCTTGCTAACTTTGTCGACCATTCCTGTACATCTTGCATAGATATTTGATTTGTAAATTCACGGCTACCTCGACTGCAGTTTATTATACCTTAAACTCCTAAATTACATTTCTCGCTTTTGATCACATTAGCCACAGGATAAATATCATCAAACATTGCCTGCTTAATATCCTTGCTATTTATAGCGAATTACTTTTCTGTACTTTAGTAAAGATGTCTTGTCTCAGTGACCTTGGAAATTCGTAACTTTCAATCTGCGTTCAATATATATATATTATGGTTTGTTACTATCCTTTTTTTCTGAAAACTTTTTAAAAATGTACCTGTTCTTATTTTGTACGATGACTCCTTTCCTTCTTAGCAGTGTTTCTAGTTTAGATCACTTCAAAGATTTTTTTTTATTGTAAGTTATTTGGTGACGCCAAACGTCCGTGAAAGTGGATGGCGACCCCCAATTTCGTCTCGCAGTGGTCGGAGCCAGTGCCCACGGTCGCCCCGGCCTCCACGCCGTCTGCCTTGTCGCTGTGGGATAAACTCGGTCTGCCCGCCCCAGACGCCGTTGCCTCACTGCATGAAAGCAAACGCGTGGTCTTGCTTGGAAATACCTTTAGCGGGAAACGGACCCTGAGCGCCCAACTGCGTCGGGCCGCCGAGTTGCACCACGCGCTCGGGGATGACAGACACGATCCCGGCATCCATGAGGACGCCTTTCTCCCGCTCTATGTCCCGTCGGCCGCCTCGGACGCGAACAGCTCCCCCGCCAGCGCAGACCAGGGCTTCGGGTCTGGGGGGTCCGGGCCCGGCTTAGCCCCCTCGCCACTTGCCGCGACGGCAGCCCGCGCCCGAGACCGCCTTCCGCACGGTGTGGGTCTCGCGCACGACTATGTCATCCAACGCGTGCCGAGTCCCCCTGCACTTTCCCACGAAGGTGGCAGCTCCCCTCACGCGGGGCTCATCCGGCGCTCGGTCGAGTTTTTTTGCTGCGATACCGCCGGCGCGCTCTTCGCCGCGCTGCCGACGCTGCAGTCCCTGAAAGAGGCGGTGGTGCTTCTCGTGGTGGATGTCAGCAGGCCGGGCGACATCCAAGCTCAGTTGGATAACAACTACGACGCGCTACACACCCACGTGACGAAGCTCCTGGCGATGCACTTACCAAACCAAGACGAGGTACGCCGTATTCAGACAATTGAGGCTCAGCAACAGTACTGGATGGGGCAAGAAGAAAGACTGAGACTGTTAAGAGCCGTGCTAGCCTCCAAGGGATTTGTAAAGGAGGCGCTGGTGAGTCCTAACGTGTGCTTAGACGAAGTGAATGCTGAGTCCTTACGCGCCCCACCCGATTCAGTGTGCCCGGTGAGGAGCATCTTGATTTGTACCAAAACCGACCGTTTAGAGGGTTTGTCAAAGACTCTCGAATCCTCCCCGTTGTCCGAGGAGTTGGAGGCCCTTCTTAATGACGTCGTGCCTCCTTCGCTGCGGGCCGACATGCAACGCGCTCAACTGCCTTTGCTACCGCTTGTTGCCCAACTTGTGCGACAGCGCGCTATCGTCCATTGCAGTGCTTTGATGGCAGTCAGCAGTCGACTCAGCACCGCCACCACGGAGTGTGGCTTCGGGGCCGATCTCGCGCATCCGTATTATTGTGGCCTGTGGAACTACATCCAGGAGCGTCTCATGGATAACAGTATGTCAGCAATGGACAGTAGCACACCAGGCACGATCAACACTTTTGTTTCTGAGACTGACCACGCAGTCCAACAAAACGAGCTTGAGTCCCTCTGCACGGCAAACTTCTTCCCTACCGCCTTTCTTCCCTGTGGTCTTGACGCCTTGGGGTTACTCAATCCTTTTGTAGCTTCACAAGGCGTCGGGTTATCCTCTTCACAGCATCTCCGTTCGCGTGCTGGTTTCGACAAAGATACAGGGGCACAGCTGGATACGTTCGCACCGGCAGCACCTACAGAATTTGAGACATCCCCCCTCCAGATCACCAACCCAACGACCCTTTTTAAACTTCATCAGGGCTACCTTCAAGAGGCAATTGGTGCTTCCATTTTTTGCCTGAACAACACTCTAGGTTCAATGTCTTCTCGCTGCAGCGTCACCCAGCTTAGGCTTTCCACTCAGGTTCTTGATGAAGAGAATGAAACCGAGGGAGAGGCATTAATTTGGGATTCAGTTTAGCTATTTCTCTTTAATCGCATACAGTTACAGACCTTCTCATTTCAGAACGAGGGATGAAAAACTGATGTGATATTTGGTTGCTTTTTTCATTTATTTTAGATTCTTCTTCTTCTGATGCTGTGCTAACACAACGTGAGTTGCTGGAGTGAATACATTATCTACCACTTTTTCTTCCGTTGTCTTTTATCCTTTTTTTTTTCAAATAGTTTTGAGCAATTCACTTCTTGACGGTAAAAATTATCAGTTGTGCGCAGTAGAAAAAAAGAACTACAGGAAAACGCTTCAGCTAAAGAACTTAGTCATTCGTAGATTCCGCTTGTCTGGACCCCCTTCTTCATTATTGACTATCAAACCATTATTATTTTTAACTCAAGAAGCAAAGTACTCTACTGATACCATACTTCGAATGTTTTCTCAAGGAAAGCCCATGACAAACGACGAGCGTTATGCTCTATTGCGTAGCGTCGGTAAAGAGTGTATTCAGGAAAATGAGTTGAGGGATCTTATTGAAAATAAGCCAAACATTTGTTGCTACGATGGGTTTGAGCCATCAGGTCACATGCATATTGCACAAGGCGTTTTCAAGGCTTTGAATGTTAACAAATGTACGGCCTGCGGCTGCAAATTTGTTTTCTGGGTGGCTGACTGGTTCGCTCTAATGAACGATAAGCTTGGTGGCAACATCGATAATATCCGCGCTGTCGGCAAGTACTTCGTTGAGGTGTGGAAGGCTGCTGGTATGGACATGGATCATGTCGAATTCCTTTGTGCCAGCGAGGAGATCACGAAGCATGCAGAGTCCTACTGGGGGCAAGTACTCGACATTGGCCGGCGAAACACCATTTCCCGCATTAAAAAGTGTTGCACAATCATGGGTAAAGGTGAGGGTACACTGACCTGTGCTCAGATACTCTACCCTCTCATGCAGTGCACGGATATCTTCTTCCTGCGGACTGACATCTGCCAGCTTGGGGTGGATCAACGGAAGGTGAACATGCTGGCCCGCGAGTACTGTGATCTCATCGGGAAGAAGCATAAGCCTGTGATTCTGTCACATCACATGCTATCTGGACTCAAGCAGGGGCAGGCCAAGATGAGCAAAAGTGACCCCGAAAGCGCCATCTTCGTCGAGGACTCTGTTGAGGACGTTGAGCGCAAAGTGCGCCAGGCGTACTGCCCTCGCGTTGCCCAGAAAACCGCTGATATCACAGAAGACGGCTCGCCGCGTGAGGATGACAACACAAACCCTGTTTTGGACTACTACCAGTGCATTATTTTTTCAAGACCTGACGCGACGACGACCATCGGGGGACACACCTTTACGACTTACAAAGGACTTGAGGACGCCTTTCTCAACGGTAATATTTCTGAGGAGCAATTGAAGGATAGCCTTGCTCGTGAAATCAATATTTTACTCGATCCAATACGTCAGCACTTCCAGAATGATGCTAATGCTCGTGAGCTGTTAACTCAGGTTCGATCCATCGGACGGGGTTCGAATAAAACCGCAACGGCGCCTCCGCCCCCAAAGACTGTTAGCCGACCACACGCCTGTATTTGGATGCCCACTGTGGTTAGGCTCACTTTGGACTCCGCCAATAGTATCATCGACGCCGTCAATATCTTTTTACAGGAGCACAAAGATGGTACTGTGAGCCTCATTATTCCTGAGTGGTCTGCTTTCGCGTCGGATCACATTATTGGAAATGACAAAGACATTCAGGCAATGATGACGTATAATGTCGAGCTTATTAAAGCATATGGCCTTCCTTCAGCAGTGAAGGTGGTGCGAGAAAAGGAGTTTATTCTTGCCAACAGCAATGATTTTTGGGTTACCACTATAAATGTGGGCCGTAAAAATTTGCTTACCCACGTTGAGGAGCTCTATGGTGGGCTGAATAACGCTGGACAGGTCATCGCTGCCTTGATGCGCGTTGCAACTGTGGTCCTTCTGGAGGCGACCCATATTATCAACCTCCCATGCGACGGCAAGTTATCAGTGCTCTCAGAAAAGTTTACCAACGGATCCGTGCAGTCAATTCAGGCACCAGAGGGGGGCATTCCCTTGCTTAGCGGTCCACTTACCGCTGCCGATTCCAGTCTTCAACGACAACGGCAGCAACAATTGAATTCTGACTCCCTGATTTTTCTTGACGATGACGAAATGGGGATCCGTCGCAAAATTAAAAGGGCATACTCTGCGCCAAACGAGGCCTGGAACCCTGTTATTGCGATCGCGTCGCGCATCCTGACACAATACGGTTCACTCAATATCTCGCGAGTTGAGGGCAACGGTGGAGATGTCTCCTACGCCACTGTGGATGCACTGAAGGCGGATTGCGGCAGCGGCGCACTTCACCCAGCTGACTTAAAAGCTGTGGTGGGGAACCAGCTGCCAAAGCTCATGACAAGTGTGTCTACCGCATTAGCCACACCCCAGCTGAAGAACCTTGCGCAAGTATTAAAAAAGGTTGAGAATAAACTCAATAAAAAGTAGGCCACATTATAAACAGGCATTGCTAAAATTATTATAGAAACAATATGGTCCCTAAAAGTTCTTAATATGGTTGGCCATTAAAAAAAACGAACTCGATGAGTCTTAATTTCATTTTTTTTTTATAAGTGTAATTCTTTTCTATTTTTGAATAGATAGAAATGGATTAAAAAATAAAGCCCAATATTGGGATCTTGAAGGATAGTTTAAGTGAAAATTTATTGTTAAGATAGTGTTGAAATATGGTTAAAAAATATCATGGCATGTTTTCTTCGTAATGACTAGGAAAGGATAGTAAATAAGACGCACATGCGTTCAATCTTTGTTGTAAATCTTTTTTATTTTTAATTTTAATTTTAATTTTATTTAGCTTATATTATTCCTATTTTACCCTAAACCCTCTCTATACGGAAAGCTTGCGGTGTGGAGCTTTTAGCAATGAAGAGTGCCATGTCCAGAAATAAAGCAATGCTTGCGGTGGCAGCACTGTTTGCACTGGTACTAGGATACACTATTCAGGATGCCGCTGCCTTGAAGATGAGGCCCACCTCAACTAGCCTCATGCTTGAAGTCGGAAACGAAGAGGTGTGTATTTACGCATCAAACCGCCAACGCTTTGAGGGTGTCGTAATGCACTACCAACTCGTTCAGGGTGATATTGACTTCGACGTGTTCATTCGTGATTCCATTAACAAAACAATATATGCATCGTTTGCTGGAGAGCACGAAACGAGCGAGCGGATTTACTTCACTACACGCACAACGCAGCAGTATGCATTTTGTGTTGACAGCAGCAGATACACGACCTCAAAACAATTAATCAAAATGGACATCGGCTTCACTTCCCTGAAGCGATGGAAGCCACGATTGGATCCACTCCGAAAGCTTATGACGGTCTCTGATGGCCTATTTCTTGGTCTGCATGACGACCAAATGATGATGCGGTTGCGCGAACAGTCACTGCGCGAAGGGCTAGAGAAGACCTTTACGATGTTGATTGTGCACGGTGTGACTGAAATCCTCATTGTGGTTATGGTGTCATTTTTGAACACAGCTCTTATGACATACCTCCTTCAGCAAGTGTCGCTGTAAGCCTGTATTTTGTCATCCTTACCTGCGAAACTGGTCCGTTTTGTGCGATTCTAGTGAATACTTCCATTTACGCTACTAATTTCGTTCCCCTTCTCCATGATTTTTTTTTATTAAATGTTTATTGTTATGTTATCTATCTATTTATTTATCTATCTATATTGCCTAACGTATGTAGTGCTTTACAGGAATCATCGTAAGATCACATGTACAATAAAATACAAGAAGGTTCCTCTATTGTCAAGAATTGTCGAAGGATTTTTTTCCCCAAAGCTGCATCAAGACTTCAGATGAGTATAATAATATACCAATCGTGAGCTAGTTGAGCTTTCGGCTGCTTCTGAGTGAGTGTAGAAGGAAGAAAATGTTTCGGAATGATCCATAAATATATATATATAATTTTTCTTTGTTTTTACCATCTTAAAGAACAGTTCAAATGTTTATATGCTTTAACTTCTAGCCCATAGCAGAATAATTAATTCTTCTTGATATTATAATTCGTATTGGCTTTCAACCCCTTTTTTATTTTAATACTTGTCGGAAGGGCGAATTCTTTTCCTTAGAAATTCATCTTACATTACACAAAGGAGTGGGGGCAGATATGTTTCGACATGTGATTAAGGTTGGAATTAGCAAGCCTGCGGTGGCTGCCCGCCTAGCATTGTCTTCCTCACACCGCACTTCCTCCCATAGCGCGACGCACCACGACTGGTCTCGAATATTTTCCCACCCCCTGACGGACGTCGAGAAGGAACTCGTCCAGCAGCAGATGAACCGTACCGTGTCGACTGTCGTGCCTGGGAAGATGTTCATGCGCCACTGGATTAATACAGAGCAGTCAACGGAATCCGTCGTTGATCGGGTGGTGGGCGGTATGATCATCATTTTCACCATAATCTGGGCATCTGGATACTCAACGTTGGGGTACAACAGCCACACCAGCGCGCACACCGCTGGCTGGTTCTTTATAGCATATTATATTGTTTTCCTCACCCACGCTATGTGGCTTGCACCGGTCTTTATGACAGGTCTAGCGGCTCAGCTTATGCTGAACTGAGGATGCTATGATACGGAATAGTACGCCTTGGGTGGTAAGTAGTACATAGGGTAAGGAGAATATATGAGGTTATCTTCTCCTTAGTGTGGTTTGGTGGCACTCTTATTGCGACTAGTTTATTTTGACGTGCTTACTTTTTTTTTAGTTAAAAGTGAATTGCCATAACGGCAGAACCCTGAAAAATACATTGTTTTCCTATTACAAACTTAGAAATATTACAACAAGTTTCCCATTCTTTAATGAGCCATTTAGCATATTTAAACACTGTCATTTCCCATTAAGCTTGTTTATAGGTAGCATACCGATGTCTCCTTTTCTTCATTCCCCCTTTCTGGCTATAAAAAGCTAAGATAAGTTTATCAGTGCATCTGTGTATGTTATTTCTTTTGTTGTATGATTCTCTTCCTCTTTTTGGATATTTTCTTCTTTCTTTTATTTTTTCAGTATGCTTTTGTTGAGATTCACTGTTTCCTTGTTGGGATCGAAACAAATTCTATTTACAGTAGCATGCTAAATAGGAAGGAAGAGTCTTTTCATTGGCTCACTAAGTTTACAACTATCTTAATATATCTTTGAAATTTTAGGCCTTTCTGAATTCCAAAGATTTACTTTATTAGTTTGAGTTCGAACACAAAGAACCTAAATAAAAGGTCAGGTAGCAATCATAATCATTGTAGACACATTGTATCATGGATAAATATTCTAAAATTCGGAATATTGGGAAAGGGACCATGGGAGCATGCGCTTTAGCCCTCAACAATATTGACGGGCATTACTACGTAATTAAGCAGGTAGATTTGAGAAGAATGAGCAAAAAGGAGCGGCGTCAGGGCCTCAACGAGGCTCGTCTGCTTAGCCATTTGCGCCACCCTAACATTATAGATTACGTGGATAGTTTTTTAGCCAAAAAATCCGACCATCTTTGTATTGTTATGGAGTACGCAGAAGGTGGTGATCTTAAATCTCGTATCAAGTCGAGATGTGGAAATAACTTTAGTGAAAATCAGGTCTTGGACTGGTTTATACAGCTTGTGCTAAGTTTGCATTATGTACATCAACTCAAGATCCTACATCGTGATGTCAAAACCCAAAACGTGTTTCTTACTAGTGAGGATATCATCAAGTTGGGGGACTTTGGTATTGCACGAACGCTGAATGGCACATATGACCAAGCTCAAACATTCGTCGGGACGCCGTATTACCTCTCTCCCGAGCTGCTGCTCGAGAGGCCCTATGACCACCGCAGTGATGTGTGGGCACTTGGGGTCGTCCTTTATGAGATGCTGACTTTAAAGCAACCGTTTAGTGCTAGTGATATGAAGGGTCTCATGCAGCGTATCCTCAAAGTGAAATATGACCCCATTTCTACCGTATACTCCCTAGAGTTGCGGAACATCGTGAAGCAACTACTGATGAAAGACCCATCTCAGCGTCTAAAACTTAGTGACGTATTAGAGCTTCCCATAGTACAGAAACGGCTACGGGCGTGGCTTCAGGATAATGTACTCCCTGCAAAATACGTCGAGTCACTTCTTAAGCGAAATTTGCTCCCTGAGTCGATGATGCGTGCATCGCCGCGGGCGCAAACGCCAATTGGAGCGTCAAAATCATGCACCTCGCCCGAGGACGGCTCTGGGGACTCGACTGAGGCACGCATCTTGCCGCCCATCATGGCGCAATCGCCCTCTTTTGAGGTATCGCCCCAGAAGTTGAATCACGGTGTGGCGGTGTCAGCGGAAATGCGTTCGATATCGGAAGCCCCAAAGTGTGTGAGTTCTAACGTGGAGGAACCAGACGATCGGAAGGGTAAGGCGAACAATATCCCGCAACCATCAATCAGTTTACCAACCTTCGTGAACAAACTGAGTGGGTCTCCTACAACTCAACCAATACGCAATAGGGTTAATCCAACATCTCACAATACTGATCCCCCGCAATGTAACCCCAATAGCCTAGACGGCCTTTATCATGAACTTCTGCACTACCAGCGGCGTTCGAGAAAGGAACCGCAGCAAACACCATCCTCGCAGCAGCAGCGTGTCCTTGGCGACATCGGCAGGCTCCGCGATTCACGCCGCGTGGGTAGCAATGGTTCGCCATGGTACTTGCCAACTCAGCCTTTGATGTACCCCAAATCGTCACCTACGCCTATTTCTGCGAATATAGATGGCGACACTAGCTCAGCCAAGCTCACAGGAACTCCTCAGCATATTTCTACGAACTTGCTTCAGAACCAAATTACAGGTAAAAAATCGAACAATGTGGCTCAAGTCGTTTCCTTAAAGCGTCTTAACCCGCTGTTTTGGCCTAGCTACGACAAGAAAATGAATAACAATCCTGAGAAAAGGGCCCCCTTGGAGCCTTTGTATCCTAATCCTCCTGTAAGTAGGCCTAATATAGATATTAAAGCACTGCTTCAGAAGGCAGCTTTAGAAAGAGCACAGCGTAGGCTTAAAGGGGCATTTTAGAGGCACTCTATATGTGGGCTTTATAAGATGAAAAAATAAAGCGATACTATAGTTTATTACTGGCTGATCCAAATTCTTATTTTTGACATCTTCAGAACATCAGTGTGTGGGCTCATTGTCTGTTGTTTTTGTCTAAATAGAATCATAATGTTCTACTTTATGGTACCTTACTACTGTTGACTCTGATAGAAGGCTATATAAAAAGAGGGGGGTATCGAAATTTCAAAAGATTCCTGATAAGTGTCGTAGCTGACCGTTATGTTGTATTAATACCACTTGTCAATCTAAAGCATAGTTTAGAGACCCAACTTCATGCTTTAGAAATTATCAATAGTTTATCTTTTATACTTGCATATCATGCTTGCTGATTTTTATTAATTCCTTTTTGCATTAATGTGTAATTAAGCAAGTTTGCTAGTGGGATTACCAAACGCTGCTATTGTCTGCGATCGATTCTCAAATCGTGAAGCACTGTGCTTTCTATGTATAATCAATCCTCATTTATCTCATTAGCAATGGCAAAGTGTGAGAGATATGAGCCTATCTACTAACCAGAAATATATATTGACCTTTAGTCTTTTGTTTGGTATTGTCTTTTCTTCCTCTACTTAGTAACTTCACACTAGAACTTGCAATTCTCTAACTGAAACGTAGAAAAGTTAGCAGGACTGCGTTTCTGTGGGTACGGCAGAACAATAGTAGACGCAATATTGATTCCAAGTCATGGATGACAACTGGGGCGATGCGGACAATCAGCAGCGAGGTATCTCTGAAGAGCTTCCCCGAGTGGCGGTGCTGCCGAGACACATTCGGTACCGTAGCTTCCTTGGACCCGCCCTCGATAGTCGTGTGCGCTGGACCGGTACTGACGCTGACTTTTTCCCTCACAAGCGACGCCGCTATGAGGAAACGACAGACAACTCAGACGTGGTGACACCACTGCCGCGTGTGTTGAACGATTCCTTCGACATCGCCGCCCGACAGCTTGCCACCTATTATTGGCTTTCTCAACCCCATAGCGTACCGGAGATGTGCGCGCGGTTTGCACTGGATCGCCGGCTTGGGGTACGACAAAGCCTCTCAGCGATCAATCGCGCGGTGCGAACGCTCAGCCGTGATGGTCACGTAGATGCAATTTTGGACATCATGGAGGACCTGATCCTGGCGCGGGACCCCCTCGCGCTGAGCACCGTGTTGGAGGTCCTCAGCGCCCTGCAGGCCCAGCCGGCACGGGCGGTGCGGGTGGCACTGCTGTTACAGACAAAGCTGCGCACGGGCACGGCCATCCCGGCAGCGGTGTGGCAGCGGCTCATCTCAGACTTCGCGCGAAGCTCCCAAGGGCTCCCAAAGCCGCTTGACGACCACTTCATGGGGTTGCTGGAGAGTGTTATGTGTATGGTACGCTGGGATAGCAAATACCTCAGTGAAGAGTTAATAGTCGAATTCGGGAAGTGCTTGCTAGATAGCCGAAAGCCTCTGTATTCTGCCATGAAACTCGTTCAGGAAGAATTGTTGAGTGGACGGAATCAAAGCATTGCTGGATCATGCACTTTGCAGCTAAGCGCCTTTTTGACCGATTTACTAACCGCGCTCTGTAGTTCCACCGCACGTGCAATTTACGACGCCAAAGGGACGTCACCTGATCCCGCAAAGCTTCTGAGTTTACTAGTTTTTAGCGGCGATGTGGTGAAGTACGTCTATGCGCAAAAGATTCAGCTTGCACCAAAGGCGTTTGACTCAGTCTTGCGGCTGTGCGATGCATGTCACGATTACCACCGTCTATATATACTGTTTGTCTCTATGTGTGTTTTATCCGTCCCAACGTTGTCTGCGCTGCTGCGAGTAATTGAGGTGGTCAACGCCATACCGGGTATCGCATCAAGGCTCAGTACCACGCTTCGTTACAAGCCGCAGGATATCTTTGTGTGGTGTCTGGAACATTTTGAATCCATTTTGGCACCTTCAAGAGCCAGCACGGTCGACACGGCACTCTCGTCTCTTTGTAGCGCCCTCGGTACGTGCTTGTCTGACTCTGATGCCGATGCAGGAAAGCTAATTGGGGTATTTCATACAATATTGAAACGATCTGCCCATCCCCGGTATAGCGCCGTATTGCTCAGCTATTATTTAGCTAGCCGCCGACAGCGGCATTCCCCTTCTGCTAATATCAAACTTATTCAATTAATGGAGTCTATAAATCAGATGGCGACCATGGTAGCGCTCTCTCAGGAGAGAAATGTCGCCCTCAGTGCGCAGTCCAACTATTGTTATAATCGAACCTTTCTTGATGCGTCCCTTCGCTGTTTCTCAAGCAGTCGAGACGGTAGCTTTATTTCCATTGACGCTGTTCTCGTTTCTGCTCTCTCGTCTGCACCGCAAGCACACTTCAGTGTATTGGACGCCAGTATTTTAAACTCTTTGGCCCAAAATCCCCATATGGAGCAAGCTTTTGTAGGTATGATGAACACTTATGTTAGTCAAGGTGGAGCACGGGTGATTTTACCTCTTGAAGCCCTAAGTGAGCACTTTGGCGGGTTATTACAGGGGGCATTAACACTTGTGGGAAGCTGGGTCATGGAGCATGGTAGCTGGTTTGCCGTACTTCCACTGTCTCTTTCTATTCAACTGGAAGGAAGCAATTGCACAGCGATCACCTGTAATTTGTTTCACTGGCTGCGGCGGGTTGGACACCAAAAGGTTGCCTTCATGTGTAGTGATCCCCATGTGGCTGAGATAGTTAAGTCTGAAGGGATATGGCCGGTGATTTTATTGGAAGACCTACTCCAACGCCTTCACAAGCGATCAGGTCAATAACTGCGTTGTACATATAGCACATGAGTGTAGGGGTGATCAAAGGGAGAAGAAGCAACGCCTTATGGACTCTTCTAAACGATCAATGTCATTTCAGAGCTCTCTTTCCCTTTAAAAAAAAATTTATGAGTTTTTTTTTTAAATCTATTCTTTTCCCCCTTACTTTTCTACACATTTAATTAATTATTTGGTTCGTCGATGCGAATCTTCCAATAGGGTTCACACAAAACTATTAAATACCTTAGTCGATTTTTTCACTTTGAATTTTTTTTAGACTTCAAGAAAGTGGGTGCATAACCTACGTGTTGTCATATTTATGTGAGATCGATACATCATTTAAATCATCAAAATAATGAATCAGTCTACCTCTACTAAGTCTAAGCCTTTTCACGAATATAACCCTATTGAACGTGTTGGCTTAATTTGTTCACACTATGGTATTGACACATCGCATTATAATGCACTCTTATCTATAACTGATGACGTTGTCGTGATGGCTTCCGGGATCTTCGTTGTTTTTATTCACTTCATTAGCGGAGAAATAGAGTATGAGGTATGCCCTGACGATGGTGCAGTAGGTGTAGTAGGAGTGCACCCAGCTTGCACTCATTATGTAGTTGGTGAACGACGTCCAGAAAACCCACGGCTTCTTGCGTACAAGTGGCCGTCCAAGAAACTCGATTTTTCTTTTGAAGGTGGCTGCTTAAAAGGCTATGCTGCCTGTGCGTTTAACAAAGCTGGCACTCGTATCGCCACAGTAGGAAGCTTTCCCGATTATACACTTTCTATATGGGACTGGTCTCACCACTCGATGATCCTGCGGAGTAAGTGCTTCGGGGCTGAGGTTGATACTGTGCGATTCAGCCCCTTTGACGACGCGCTCTTAGTTACGGGTGGATCTGGCCACATTAAGTTTTGGACTATGGCCCACTCTTTCACGGGACTGAAGCTTCAGGGAGCGCTAGGGAAGTTTGGATCACTGGAAATATCGAGTATTACTGGATTTGAGGTGTTTCGCGATGGAAAAGTTCTTAGCGGTTCTGAAAGCGGGTGCCTTCTTATATGGGAAGGAGACCTCGTGCGATGCTGCTTCGTCGGTGCATTATATCAGACTTCCTTAGATTTAATGTCTGTGAAAGTTCAATACACTTGGGAGCCATGCCACAACGGGGCAATCACAATCATTCAATTAATCCACAATGGAATTATCGCGATGAGCGCTGGTGAGGATGGCACCATGCGGTATTGGAATTGCCAAGAGTTAGAACAAGCCGAAGGGGAGGGTGGACAACCACCATTACACGCCCCTGCGTGTTTACTTGAAGTCTGTATCTCACCTAAGTGCACTATTCGTTCGGTTACACATTGCTCCTCCCGAAACGAGTGGGTTATCCTGGATACCCACGGCACTATCTGGACAACGCCTTTTCCATCTCTTGAGGAGATCTATTCTGGCCGCCTCCAGGCATCGGAATCGAATTCAGTTTCTATCTCCTCTGCCGCTGCCTTGCGGCGATTAAATCTTAACGGAGGAGCATTCAGGTGCTGTGCGCTGTCGCCCAAAGCACACGTGGTCGTCACTGGGAGCGATGATGGAGCCGTTCGCTTGCTTGATTATGTCAAGGGTCAGGAGGTGTATCACAGTGTATGGCCCTCTACAGAAGAAACTCTTAGTCCGGTAGTGGCATTGCATTTTTTCCATTCGAACCCCGACGATTCTGTTGTAGCGTGTGGCTTTCGTGACGGTACCCTCCGGTTACTTCGCCTGAACAAAGATGGCTTTGTCGAACTGGGGACGTGGCGTCCTCATGGCAATGGCCTCTTTGCTATGGCGCTGGACCAGAGTGAGCGGCAGCTGTGCACAGCTTCTCAAACTGAGCAGACAGTATTCTTTTTTCGAGTTTCTGAGAACTACGATGCACTTGAGGCGTGCGGGTTTTGCCAGCTGCCACTCCCAAATCCGGTTTGCCTTGAATGGGATGCGCTAAAAGGCGGCGGATGTGTCGTTGGCTACGAGACTGGAGAGGTGCTGGCGATCCGCGCGCCACAGCCTGATGAAGTTGATACCAGCAAGTCATTTGAATTTCCGTGCAGCTACGGACTGCTGGGGATCCGTCAGCGTAGGCTTCCTCCGCAGCGATTGGAAAACGAGGAGGTGGAAGAGGAGGAAGATCTGTTGGCTGAAAAAGATGACGGGCCGTGGCCGATCAGTTTTATACGCTGCCTTTCTGGTGACAGTTTTGTCATTGGCACGCACAAAGAAGAGCTGGTGTATCGCTATCAAGGTTCTGTACGTTACCCTGGGAAGTGTGTCCTTCCTCCGCTTCCACCGACGGGTGTGGCACCTCCGAATTATGTGGAGGATCCAGGCGACAACCTGTGCTACCGTGACTGTGTCCCCCACTCAGCCTTCGTTGGGGGTGGCTCCCAGGCCGGAAAGCTTCTTGTGGTGTGTGAGCACGCAGTGGTCTTGATGTTCGAATGCGACAAGCCAAATGTGCAGCCGATGATTATTAACAAATCCCACGATAGCACAACGGGTCAAATCACGTCGGTTGGCGTGTCTTACGACGGTTCGATGGTCATCACCACTGGTACAGATATGCTAATGGTGGCACAACTCCTTAAAGGTACTACGCCGCCGCTCTCGAATGTGAATGTAGCCTTCTCAAAAATTCAGACGATTTACCCACAGCATTCCATACGAGATCCCGAAGGTGCTTTGAAAAGTAAGGTGGTGGAGCTTGTCCCTCCTGAAAGCCCACCTCTCCTCCTCTCGATTCAGGAACAGAAGGAAGCTGAGGATAAGGCCAAGGAGGAGGCTGAGAGAAAGCAAGAGTTTGACGAGTTTTACAACAAAGTGTCTGCCCTAAACGAGCGGTACGCTGACGTCCTAGCCATCAACAATAATCTATCAGAAGAGGTCCGCCTAGATGACGCCGAGCTAGAGCTGGACCCACGTCTGACACAAAAGCTGGAGGAGGAAATGCAACGACGCATCGAAAAAGCTCGTGAAGAGTGGGTACTGAAGTCTGCTATAGAGGAAGTGCGCACTAGGAAAATGCGGGATCGCTTTTTGGGTAACTTGCTTTGGGATCGTTTTTGTGTACACGCGTTTTCCATGGAATTTTCTGTGGCTTCCTTTCGAACAGCGAACCCAGCACCGATGATAAAACAAATGCAGGAGGAAATCGACGCCGCGAATGAAGAAGATCGTGATGATGAGAATGAAAACCATGCTTCCATTGAAGCAGATGCAGTAACCGACAGTGTTTTTGAAACCGATGGCCGTGGAGATTCCACAGGAACGGTATCTAGCCAACAGATGATATATAGGAACAATAATTCTTCCGGCGCAGGACAGGCAGACGAATTCAGTAACATTACCCTAAAAAGTAGTGTGATACAGCAGCTTAGAAAGGCTGAGGTGCGTCGGCGGGTAAGGGAAGAAAGACGTATAGGTTACGAGTACCTCCTAAAGGAAGCGCCAGATCCGAAAATGGCTGAAATCGAGTTGGCACAGCTGCGGAAAGTAGATCTTGAGCAGCGCGGCGAGTGTATCCTTCGCACTGATTTAAATTACAAGAGCGATGATTTGTATCACCCAACATCGAGTGGGAAACTGAAACATATTATACATTTTCAGTGGCTTCTGGTTAGTAAACGCTCTGAATTTAATGAAGAATTAAAGCGGATCCGTGAAGAAAAACGCAACTGTATCAAGCACATCAACCTGCTACGTTACAGAATTGGGGTCATTAACAAAGAACTAAAGGACAACAGTGTCAGCTTTGCTGCCGTACAACTGTTGGAGGACGAGGAACCGGAGCGTATTTTCGAAATGACTCATAAAGATTTGGACGTGTATTTGATGCAGAAGAATTTGGAAAGAGAGAAAGAAGAACAAGCTAAAAAGGCACGGCGCGGCTTTGGCGCAGACCTTGCTGGGATTCAACATGTCGAGTCGAAAATGGGAAGCTATTATGGAGCTGGGGATCGTCGGCAAAGCCGCTTTGTGGCAAGCCGCAGATTTTCCAGAATGGATCGTACCATGCGACATAGTACGTTAAATTTAGCTACTGTAAATCGCGAGCGACTAGACATGGAGCTCAAGGCTAAAATTGAAAACATTAAGCTAAGCGAACTTGAAATTGAAGAACTAATGCTAAATAAGGAGCAGTTATTGACGGAGCGGCGCCGCCTTGCGGCACAATGCCGGCATCTTATGAATGACTTTGACACGTCACTCTATAAATTATTTCGAAAACGTGTCGATTTAGATGCAGACTTCTGTCTCGCGGATGCACGCATTCTTTTACTATTTAGCGAATATGAAATGCTCCTTACGTATCGTGCACGAGACAGCGCTCTACGTACTCAACGAAACGCAGCCCGGAAGAGCCGCGACACGCTTCAGAGGGAGGTTAAGCAAATTAAAGGCACCGCCAAGGATATGGAGAATGGCATTTGTAAGAGGCAGGATTCCTTTAAAGCGTTCAGGCAGGAGGTTGAGGCGTTCATCCAGGAATCTTTCCCGAGTGACAAAGTTCCTTACGTCCTGAAAGTGTTTAACCGCATCTTGAAGCGTCGCAAAAAGGCGGATGAGGATATAATTGATGATGATGTGACCAGCGACGACGACGACAACGACGACACAGATGATGATGACGAAGTTAAGGAAGAGTCATGTCCTGTTCACTGCGATATTGCGCACTGGGAGAGAGTTCTACAGCTACGTGAGAAGCGACAAGACCTTTTGAATGATATCTCGGAGATGAAGCTGAAGCTAGAGGAATTGAAAAGAAATCTTGAAAAGAGTGAAGCTATCATTGAGGAACGTACTAAGGAAATCAAAGCGTGTCAAAAACAAAAGGAAGATTTAGAAGATGAGAAACGGCGGGATCTCAATAACCTTGACATTGTAGTTCCTCTTTACTGCAGCCAGGTGCTGTGTTTGGATGACAATATGCAGCTTCCTAGTGATTTGCCGAATCAGCCGGTTTTGGTGCTTGCCGAAGAAGTTCTACAGCGGCTGCAAAGCCGTATTTCAGAGTTAGATGAACAAAAAGAGAAGCGCCACCAGATGATCTTGGATATGTCAGATGATCTGAGCAAAATACAGGAGGTCATGTCAAAATCACTCAAAATGTATGGGGAATGGAAAGACAGGGTGGGTGAAGTTATGATACTCAAGTTCGGTAGGCACGTAGATCTTGAAATGCTTGAATCCTGCGGCAC